CATCCATCATCAGTCCATTCATGCATCAATTCATCCATCCATCCATCATCCATTCATTCATCAATCCATCCATCATCCATTCATTCATCCATCTGTCCATCATCCATCCATCCATCATCCATCCATGTATTAATTCATCCATCTATCTAGCCATCCAATATCTTTACAAGCTTCTTCCTTTTCGAGTCGCTGGGGTCACTGGTGCCCATGTCCAGCAGTCACTGTGTGAGAGGCAGGGGACACCCTGGACAGTCCATCAGGGACACATAGAGACAAACAATCATTCACTCTCTCACACCTAGGGACAATTTAGAGTTACCAATCAGTCTAACATGCATGTTTTTGGTCTGTGGGAGGAAACCAGAGTACCTGGAGAAAACCCACGCATACACGGAGAGAACATGCAAACTCCACGCAGAAAGGCCCCCATGCCAGGATTTGATCCAGCGACCTGCTCGCTGAGAGGCGTCCACACCACCGTGCTGCCCTAAAGGGACGACATTTTGCATTATTAGTTGTTCATTCTCACAAAATGAATTGTAAAACCAATAATAATATTTTTCATTGCAGGAAAAAAAAAAACTCTTAATTTCTTGTAACTTCACATCGACACAGATCATGAAACTGTACAAACGTGTTAAATTACAGTCATTTTACAAATGCCAACATTTTTCAGTCAGGTCATCTGGAGTTTCTTTTTTTGTGCTGAAACGTTTTGCCTTCGATCCAGAAGGCTTCATCGGTCAAGGAAACACACAACAAAACTGATTCTTCCTTCAACAGCTTACTCCAAAGTGGAACAAACCAGTTCTGCTTGTGATAAGATGGTCCCTGGTTTGTTCCACTTTGAAGTAAGCTGTTGGTGGAAGAATCAGTTTTGTTGTGTGTTTCCTTGACTGATGAAGCCTTCTGGATGGAAGGTGAAACATTTCAGCACAAAAAAGAAACTGTCCAGATGACCTGACTGAAAAATGTTGGATTGTATACCTGGATTATTGAGCATGGACTTTGTTGTTTTACAAATGCTTTCACATTAAAAAGAACTCAAAATCAACACATAGTTGAAAACATTGATTGTTAAAACGTCTGGAATTTTAAATTAGAAAAAGGTTTTGGAACCAGAGATCCACGACAGGTTCCTGTAGAGTCGGATTGAAAAAACAAAAAAATATTTTCATAATATCGTTTATAATATGGCAAACAAACCAACATTAAAATAAATTATATATAATTTTATATATAATTATTATTGCTATTTCTTTTTTGCTGTTCTCCATATTTTATTCCTAAATTTAATTTTTTCAGCATTTTCCTCAAAGAGTTGGAGAAATATGAGCAGCTGCCGGAGGATGTTGGCCATTGCTTCGTCACATGGGTATGTGTCACCTCAATAAATGCCTTTACGTTCTCTTAGTACTGTTTAGGTTCTTTAAACACATTGTTCCTTGTTTTTATAAAGATTTTTAATTTGCATTTTTACATAATAAGCGATCGATGATTTGCATTTGACTCACCAACCTTTCTTCAAGGCTGACAAGTTCCAGATGTACGTGAACTACTGTAAGAACAAACCAGACTCCACGCAGCTCATATTGGAGCATGCTGGAAACTACTTTGATGTAAGGAACACCTTTTCTATCCTTATGAATTTAGATTGGTCTTGTTCGATACGTACAATCGTTCAACCGGTCTTTTGTTTGACAGGAAATCCAACAACGGCACCGACTGGCCAACTCCATCTCCTCCTATCTGATCAAACCAGTGCAGAGAATCACAAAGTATCAGCTCCTGCTGAAGGTGCGTGGATCACAGCTGACCTCAGCGCCGCAGCCGTTTGGACTTCTTCTCGTCACGTTTCTGTGTTTGTGTTTAGGAGCTGCTGACGTGCTGCGAAGAAGGTAAAGGAGAGATTAAAGACGGTCTGGAGGTGATGCTCAGTGTTCCCAAGAGAGCCAACGACGCCATGCATCTCTCCATGCTGGACGGTGAGCAGACACTCTGATTGTTATTTAGCTGCGATACATGTTTTATGCTTTAAAGCAATGTTTTTATTAAAATGTTCTATACCTCTTCCAGGATTTGATGAAAACATCGAGTCGCAGGGCGAGCTCATTCTCCAGGACTCATTCCAGGTCTGGGATCCAAAGACTTTGATCCGTAAGGGTCGGGAGCGCCACCTCTTCCTCTTTGAGATGTCTCTTGTCTTCAGCAAAGAGGTGAAGGACTCGAACGGCAGGAGCAAATACATCTACAAGAGTAAACTTTTTGTAAGTACATGATGATGGATCCCACACACACAGTTTTTATTTTGTTCATTTTGTACAGGTGTAAATGAAATTGAGCTTCGTTCAGTGTTAGAATAGAAAAGAATCGAATAGAAACAAAGAGAAAAATATATTTTTTGGCCCTCTTTATGGACGTTCTTCTTTATCAGCTAGTGATAAACGAATAGAAGTGCACAGGAAATGCAATAATTAAAATAAAAAAAAATTAAAAACTGTACAACTGTTCCAAGTTTTTATAAATCAGGACTTGATGAACATGATCTGGTCATTCCCAGTTTTGGGGATTTGGAAATTCTCTCCGTTCATTTGTCTGAGTGAATGTTGTGGGCTGGATAACTTGGAAAATAAGTGAGGTACCACCTTCTGTTTTAGTGTGTGGCTGCATCTAGGCATAAGAAAAGTCACTATCAAAAATTGGGTTGCCAAGTCAAAATCCAAGATGGCCACCAGACATACAGACAAACATATAATTCGTCATTGGAGGAAGCTGTTCTTTCTAGTTGCTTAAAAATATTGTTTGCTCAAATGATTGGTGTGACCCTTAGGGTGGCTGAAGATTAATCTATGGTGGCCATGGCCCAAATGGCCACCCCATGGCTCCTCCACTGCTCCTTTGGTGGATAAAATTGCTCCTTCCACTCACCAGGATCTGTCACCCTTCACTGTCTATAACAAGCAAAGATAAATAAATAACTTCCATCCATCCATTATCTTTTACCCGCTTCTTTCTTTTCGGGTCACGGGGTTCAGTGGTGCCCATATCCAGCCACCACTGTGCGAGAGATGGAGGAAACCCTGGACAGGTCTCCAGTTCACCACAGGGACACAGAGACAAACGAGACAAACAACCATTCTCTCTCACCTAGGGACAATTTAGAGTTACCAATCAGCCTAACATGCATGTTTTTGGTCTGTGGGAGGAAACTGGAGTACCCGGAGAAAACCCAGACAAACACGGAGAGAACATGCAAACTCCACCCAGAAAGGTCCCAGGCTGGGATTTGAACCGGCGATCTTCTTGCTAAGAGGGACCAGCTTTTCCAACTGAGGCACTGTGCCGCCTGTATTGTATACAATACTATACATGTATACATACTATACATGTATA